CGATAGGTGAGGTTTCATATGTAGTTTAATATAATATTTCTTGCGGACATCAGACATTGACGTTCAACTTGATAGGTTGTTAACGTTAGGTAAGCATAACCAAATCCTTCGACTAGATCAATTTTGTTATAGGACAACTATTGGGTAATCATTCTCAATGGCAGATTCTCAGGCCGCGAATCTGTACCTCCCCGTGATGACTGTCTCAAACCAAGCCGAGGTGATCTCTCTTTCCAGCCCCACAATCAGTCTGCTTTCCTCACATACCTACAATCATGCCCATGAATTCTAGGAATTGTACAGGAATGGAATGTCCACAGGCATGTCTCTGACCCACATCTATGCCCACATTCCTACATAGTGAAATTCCAGGAAACCCTTGGGACATTGTGGAAATTGTACAGATTCTCAACTGAGCAGACACATGCTGATTTACATCCCTGTCCACTCCCATGCAGCATTATCTAGCTCATATAGCTATATAGCTCCCATGATGTTAATGAAGTAAGCAGTGAGTTTTCTGAATTAGTGTAGAACGTCTTCCCCTATGTATCATCAACAGTCTTCAACTCTGCTGCATTTGAACAGGTATTATATCTTTCTCTCCTATTATAATAATTGAGAAGTTTATTGCAAATTCATGCCCGGAGGTTAATTGCCAGTTACAAGCATAAAAGAACATTGAAGAACAGTATATAAAATAACTAAAATCTACATAATGAAAGGTAGTTGTCTAAAATTATAGCTACGTCTAAGTCTAAAACTACGTCTGAAGGGTTTGACTTCTCTTTTATAACTGTAGAAGACACGTGTAACGTATATCTGTAAGTCTCCTTCTCAGCATTTCCCCAACATGTTCAGGCCGTCACAATGTTGATTCGGAATGCCACAAAAAGGAGTATCCATTGTGATCTAATACCGGTATGTCTTTAACACGTTGCAATAAAGTTCGTCTACGGGTATTTGTTGGAAGGCTTTGCTGTAAGAGGAGAGCATCCATTTGAAGGGAGTGTGAGGTTGTGCCCATTTGGACCAAGCATAACCAGAATTTAACTATCTATATACAAATATGTGTATCTAAAGGAAATCTACCTAATTCTGCTCTACAGGCGACATTGCTACTATTTCTAAATAGATATAATAAGAATTCTAGGAATTGTACAGGCATTTTTGTCCACAGGCATGCGGAATGTCCACAGGCATGCAGAATGTCCACAGGCATTTCTCTGACCCACATCTATGCCTACATTTCTGGAACCCTGAAGACCTGCCTGCCCCAGATGGTCCTACTTTCTGTGACCTCGGGGCTCGTTCACTATGCACTCAGGGGAGGAGTGTACTGTATCTGTCTAGACTTAAACCAAAGTCCAAGTACCAAGTCTTCCTCAAAATCATGAAATGATGGCAGTGCCATGCAAACAATAATCCTAACAGAAACCACCGTCGCCATGGCAATGTATGTTTTCATTGCCAGTCTTGTTGAAGTAGCAGGAACACATCAGTTGGATTGTTACCCAGATTAGGAGGTCAAACATCACTGAAGGAGTACAGGTATGTTGATAGTAAGATTTTAGTTCATGAAAAACTTGTGTCATTGAGCTCGTAAACAGGTCACCTTTAACCCCACCCGGTTATAGCGTCCAGCTCTACCTACTTAAGCTGAGGTCACATTTCCAAACCTGGGCCTGGTCGGGCAGTCAAGTGGAACGAAAACTATGATATAAAAGACAACAAATCACAAAAAAAGTTTTAAAAATAAAAAATGGAACTATTTGCGTAGATTATTGATACAAAGTCTTTCGTTATTCGAAGCAGCCCAGCCGGCCCGGTTTGGAAAAGTGACCTCAGCATTTATTTATTTATTTATATGTATTGCACGTATATTAAAAACAATTACACAATCAAATAATAATAATCAAAGAATGTGCGGGATAGGCCAGAAACCTGGGTGGTTTTTCTAGAGGCCTACCCCAAGCAAAGATAACTTATGACAAAACATATTCAAATTAAACATCAAAATTAAACAATGAAATAATTTAACAATGATTAATTAAACAAAATCAAGACACAGAAATAATAACTGAAGTGTATAAACTAACTAAAACGAAATTAAACAAAAGTCTTATACCTGTAATTCAGGTAGATGTTACAGATTAAACTGATTAAATAATTAACATAAGAATTAACGATTAAAACAAAATATTAACAATAACAAGGAAAACAAACAAATCAGATTGTGGATGTACTGGGACGTAAAGCATTATTTAACCCTTTTCGCTCCAAGTGGAGCATAAGGATCCCTCCAACAACATCAGGCCCTGGGCTAGCCATTCAATCTCGTGCCAGGTCTGGATGGGTTGCATAGCAGGTTTCGAACTCAGGACGTCTTGGTTCCTGTCCGAGCACTCTGCTGGTGCGACACACGCCCCCACAAACCTCTTGTTTTACCGTGCATGAGAACGCGGAGGTACACCGTTGAATTGCTAGAGCACAGTACACGACTCCGCCTCACTGGACATGACGTGTGGCTTCCTGCACTCCTCTTGAACACAGAAGATGTAAATATTGTAACTTGAACAGAATAGAGGACGAACGCCATTTTGTAATAGAATATGTAAACTGTATAGCAAAGAGAGAATTAACTGTATATGTTTGTACAACACCTATTCCCCTATTTCATACACTTAAGTACTGTAGAAAAATTCATATTCATGATACGACTAGACAAACCACCCATCGAAAAACAGATCTATACCTTTATTTCTACAATAACTGGAAAGCGAGGAGAAGTTGAATTTCTATAACGATAGTTACAATAGTTACTTTTGTATCTGTTAACCGTGTCCCTTCATCTTGTTTTGTTGTGACCTGTACATAGCCAAGTGTGGCAGAAATGTGCAATAAAGGTCTTCATTCATATATTCGCCATGTAAGATACCTTTAGATCTTTGAGGGAGCTATCCTATGAAGACATAAATTTGCCTGTGAGGAACCGAGACCAGGCAAGTATGTCCTCGGGCTGCCGAGTTGTTAGGAGAGGTCTACAACTTAGTACAAAGTGACTGTCGTTATACAAGTACACCGACTTCTTTCTGTAAGGCGACCACCCTCGACCTATCGAAGATTTTGTCACCGTGACGGGTTTACTGGGCAAGGGGATGGGGAGGGGAGGGGCGTTGTAGTAATATGTACTGAGGAGGTGGAGATTACGAGGCCTATAGTTTGGACTTAGAGCCCTCTAGATTGGTTGCGGAGGGCAGTGTCCGCAGGCAAGTTGTTCCACTCCGGGATGGTACGTGGGAAAAAAGATTTTTTACTGTAAAGAGTTCTGCACATACATTGTAGACAGCTGGTATGCCGCAGAGTGGGTGAAGCGCGTTGTTATGACTTCAGCATTCATGTCGTTTATTAATTTCATATAACCTAGATCCATATCTGATGATGTTCCCTCTATTGTTGTTTACCCAAATGCATGGAAATAGAACTTACATCGTATTACACTGTCTGCCTCACTCAAATACAAGCTGGGATGTTAGTTTATATAGCCACTGCCAAGTGTGGAGCTGGCACTCTGACATTTAAAATACTTGTAGCCTTGCCCACAATAACCTGGGGTGAAAAGACAAGTTGTGCTTTATTCCACGCGTGATTCCGAGCGGATCAGCACTGCGATATCTCTAAAGCTGCTGTCCGATTTGCGCCATACAGGTGAGGAAATATTCACTGCACACATTCTAAATCTCTGAGGAAGGTTTGCCATTATACTTAGCTACGCTTTATCACTCACAGTGCCTGGCATAGAAATGTCTAGAAACCGCGGTATCATGGCTGCTAACTCTGACGGACTAGACTACTTCTATATTCACTGCCTGAGGCTTTCTCTTACTGAATGCTTCTTCTGAACGACAACGCGTTACGCTCCGAGTCGGAAAATTGTTTAGAAAGTGGTTGGTTGAATAGGCAAACATTTTATGTTACGTGTCATGGTAAACTCAATTGTTAGTACGATATTTTTTCGCGTGAATTTGAAGAACATAAACCCACCGTGAGACCGTACGTCATTCAGATACGTTGTAGTTGGTGACTTTCGACGTATCTAGTAATATGGGTCCCTCCAATACGTTACAATATGTTTCCGAAATGTAAGAAAATATAGAAATTTTCAATTGCACCATGAGAAATCACGTGTCACTGCCAACTAACAACATCTTCCATATCAGATGTGAAAGTTCATAGTTCAATAGAGACTCACCTGAGTGAACAAACCGGTTAGACGAATGATTTGATGATAAAGTAATTATATATAACGTCACTTTTGGCTTTGCAAGTTATTCCAGAATGTTTTTATTATATGTACTTTTTTTATTAGAAAATGTGCTTTTTGTCACGTCCAAGTTTTTAGAGTGAAGGGTGATTACCTGCATATTCGTCCTCCCAACCTTGCCAGTCTCTGTGCACGGCCCCGACCGGCTCTGTTCCCGCCCCTCCCGCTGTTGGTGACTTGTACCCGCCGGGCAAGGAGGAGTTTTAAAGTGTCCTTGAATCGACCACGGGGCTTACGCTTTGTGACACTTGTTGTTTGGCTACTATCTATTCACATGGTTTGAGCAGGGCCTTTTAATTAAGTGATAGTTCGGTTAGGTGCGAACAAGTCCAAAGACACTTGAATCCATGCCTTACATTCTTTGAATGATGTGGAATCAAACCAGTAAACTGCATGGTTTGTAAGATATAAATGTTTGTAAAATATAAATGTACTAGAAAGGTAACAGTTGCAAATGCGTATTGTTTACCTTCACCTGGTCCATCCGCTGTCAGAGGGAAACTATTTTTTTTTCCAAAATCAGGCGAATATTAATGCGCGCACTCATGTCATCCATACAAATTACTTGCTGTGGCCTATCTAATACTCTGTTTCTTCTTCCTAGAACACATTCACATCTCGGTTGATACGTTTTGTAATGATTGTGAAAATGCTATGTTTAATTCTAGTTTACAGCATGGAGACGACTCCTCCTCAGAGCAATGGTGTGGACGACCTGACTGAGATCGAGAGAATCGACCAACTAAAACAACGAATTCGCTGTAAATATAAAACCACCCATCATATTGTTTTCGTTTCGTTTAATAGCAACATTTGTAACTTTTTATATTTGTAATTACCAAGGAACAACAAATTACAAAATTGTACAGGATTTTTGTATGATGAGAATACTGTCAACAGAGTCTTTAGTAATATTTATAAAATAACCATCAGGTGCCTAGAGGCAGCAATTCCAGATAAAGAAAACACATAATTTATTTTTGCTGGGGTTCACAGATCGTCACACGAACAAAATCTACGTTGATCTGAAGCAGGTAAGACGAGTTGCTGTAACTTTGTTATGGTCACACCTTCTGTTGTCGTCAAGAATCTATATATCTGTAAACGCGATTGTTTCTGCTTAGGCCTAAATTTGATATAAGGGTTACAAACGGACCACATAGCCCATTTATAGCAAAATACAATGTTTTATGCACGGTTAAGATCCACAATGGTGTCTTCGGACTTGTCTAAATTACATCTTTGCTTTGTTCATATCTAAGCTGCACAGATAAATTTATATTTCTAATGATCTTAGACAAACCTTCTATATTGAAACATATCTGTTCTTACATTTTTGCCATTACTACGAAACAAGAAGAAAGCGAATTTACTTAATTTCCTTAATTGTAGTTACTTGACGATGTATACATGTAATGTTATCTGTATACCATCCTTTTACTGTGACCTGTACTTAACCCAGTGGGTATGTGTGTACAATAAAGGTCTTCATTCATTTGTTACGTTACGCGTTGACCGCTGTATACCGGTTAACCAGAGCGATGCATTTGTTTGATCAGCTCGGCTACAACGATGCGCGGGGCAACATCGACATCAGGGACCTGGTACGGCTGGACCAGTGGCACTACAACGGGACGGAGCCGGTCCAGATGGCCATAGACAAGCTCTGCATCAGGTATATATTTACCTCCATGAAAAATGGAGGTATTGTTTTTGGCGTGTCAGTCTGTGTGTCTGTCTGTGTGTGTGTGTGTCTGTTTGTCTGTCTGTGTGTTTGTGTTTCCGGACATTTGCGGCCAGCATAACTTTTGAACCTTTGGATGGATTGTAATGATATTTGGTATGTGGGTAGGTGTTGGGTAGGCAAAGGTCAAGGTCGATTTTGGGCTTCCTGGTGGTTGACCTTGGCACTGCAGCAGAACTTCCGTTTTTTGTATCTTTTGTCCTGGAGATGCTATGGTCTTGATTTCTTAGTGGTAGATAGCTTTTCCTGCCAGTAATAAGTGGTGTGGGTTTGGTCCCCCTAGCATCTTGTTCTGTAGGGAGGTTTCTGGCGAAACCTTTCAGAGCAGATAAATTCACAAAGAAACAGTGTATTTGTATTTATTTAAATTGCAAACACTGCAATACGGTGGAAGCCCTGGCAGCTGAGCTGATGTCGGGCCCCGCATTATGAAATACATACATACATAGTCAAACACACATCATAACACAATAAAGTCACAAATCACAGAAATCTCTTATACTTACAATCCATAATCTAGGCTAATGACATTATAAAAAAAGTAACAATATAACTCAGTATGGTAGGAGGCCAGAGGTCATTCAAATATATAATATTTCAATATTTACAGTTTTGTATGAATAGATGGAAGGACTAAGGGTTAGAAATGGTTCTTTGATGAAATATAAGTATGAAAAGCGGCCGAAAGGTTTTGATCTGTAAGAGGGTCGTGACCTGGATAACCGTATGCACTTTAGTTGTAAAGTGCCTTTCCCGCGGACACAACAATGGGGATTCGAACACAGGACCTGCAGACAACACACCTAACCACAAGACCATAAGATTAGACCATTTTGCTAACTGAGTTTATTTTTCTATATGTTTACCTCGACAGGGAGGGTGATAAAGTGTTAGACGTGGGTTCAGGGATCGGCGGCCCCGCCCGTTACCTCGCACATGCCGCACAGTGTGACGTCACGGCCCTTGAGCTGTTACCAGAGAACCATGACGTCGGCGTGGACCTGACCAGACGCTCAGGGATGGACGACAGAGTCACTCACGTCTGCGGAGACATTATCACTGCTGACTTAGGTAGGCTTCGTGTGGCTAAGGGCACCATACTCTCTTGATTTGATTTATTAGACTGTATAAACAGATATATACAGCCAGGACTTCCCAACTAGCCGGAGGCTATTATATGATATGAATCTTTATTGCATGTTCTTGCCCAGATGTGCTAAATGCACATGAGGACATGCAGTATGCAAAACATGAGTATTGCATACGCTACATTCTAATGCTAATTTCTTGGAATTTATACATTATAACAATACTATATACTACCTATCATCTACTGTTAGTTGCCCTTTCTTCTCTATTTTTGAAACATTTGGAAACATAATTACATAGTTTGTCTGCTATACATTCGTTCTTGCATGACATCAAGTGTTTAAATGTGTCCTGCTTTGACATTTTCTTGCATATATTGTCTAAATGTACTATAAAGGGCTAGCCCTCACAACAAGAACAACAACAATTTGGAACAGGTAACAGTTAACAGTGTCGGTTACACTTCAGATAAACATACTAGTACACAACAGATGTTGCGGTCTAACGTTAACAAGCTATGAGATCTGGCCAAGACGTCATGCGTTTACTATAATTATATCGTGTACTATTATATATATCTATATTCTGACTACAATTCTATTGAACTCTCTTAAGCACTCATCTGTAAGAAGACCCGGAGAACAAAGGTCTGAGTCTATCAATACTATGTCAACACGTCAACCCTTTAATTCATAATACTAGAAGCTTTTAAAGGCATCCAATGAAATTTCAGGGCGGTAAAATTAAAAAAAAAATACTAGAAGCTTAAAAGTATCTAATTCAATTTCAGGCCGACAAAACAAAATATTCAGAAAATCTGTCTGAAATTGACATTTACTAATATATTTAGCTCATTTCTGTCATCTTTTCAAACCGTGGCCGTTTGAAGTAGCCCCAAACTACGCTGTGATGAGGCGGCTCATTTTGTTGTACAGCCCATAAATATCTAGAAGCAGCCTACGAAACTAAACACGCAACCATGTTCCGTAAAGCGAGGGTCACAATCCACCGTATGTGTTTTTTGTCCGTGCGTTTCTTTGGGAGGCCACGTCCGCCACGTTTTCAGGGGAAGGACTGGCATGAGCAGTACGTCAACGCACGTCACTCACACGGTTGTGCAAGGTGTAAGAGTGTGGTCTGCACGCCACGTCTTACGTACGGTACGTACAGGGCACGCGCGTCGCCCGTACTGGCTCGTACGGGGCTGAATCCGAACGCAGAGAGAGCTTTACATGCACTTAACGTGCTACGGCGTGTCTGCGTGCTCCCAAACCCGTTGAATTCCGCCCTTAAATTACAATAAATGTATTTAAGAACATGTCGTCATTGTCAGACTTAGCAAAGATGGCATTGGCCGAAACGTTATATGCATGTTGGCACATTCTCAATTTATCTCAACTTAGATCATTTTTGTGTTCAATCCAGGTGAAGAGTCATTTGATGGTATCATGAGCATCCAAGTCTTCTTCCACATCAGCGACAAGGCAGCTTTGTTCAAACGATGCTTGGAACTTCTGAAGCCCGGCGGTGCAATGTAATGTTACAGCCAACAAAATTTGTTTAGTGCATTCATTGAATTGCATATTACTAAACACAATCCTATCTTTTAGCACGACCTAAGCATGCTTAAGGGTACACGTGAGGGAAGAAAGGAAGCCTTTACGTATTCTTTAAGGCATGCTTAAACAATGGTTTTTGCAGTGTAGGAATTTTGAATGCTATATTCCGTGTACTGCAAGGCTTGGCGTGATGTAACCTCTTATATGATTAGTTTCACACTGGTCCAAAATCATTGTATAAAATCAACAACAATCTAGTCATTGCCATTATAGCGTATTGTCGGTTTCGAGCAAATCAAATGCTCTACCATGAAGATTTAATATTTTAGTAAAACATTGACCTTTATTCCAACACAAGGGTTACAGAGCGATCAAATTTTCGACGACCACTGTCGCCTTCATCAGGATAATTAATGACCAATCACTTCACAACATGATCTCGCGAGAGTTACGGTTTTCAAACACGTGATCTTATTCTCGCGAGACTTAACTGATACGTGACGTGAGCAATTGATCAAAAGTGCCAGGAAGTTTATATTGTCCACCATCACGCCAAGTGAAGGCTGAAGTGCTCTGATATATATGGTCTCTTTAATGCCTCTTAAAACGTGTTTGTAAACCGTAACTCTCGCGAGATCATGTTGTGAAGTGAATGGTCATTAATTATGCTGATGAAGACGACAGTGGTCGTCAAAAATTTGATCGCTCTGTAACACTTGTGTTGGAATAAACCTCAATGTTTGACTATGATTACTACCAACACAGATGATCTTTCATGATAAGATTCAATGTTTGTTAAAATTTTCAGGTACGTCGAAGACTTTTACCGTACGAAGGACCTGAGCCGCGCGGAGCGGGATGTGCTGACAGCGTTCCTGAACAGCGCTGACGACATGGCGACCATGGAGGACACCAGAGGTCAGCTGGAGGACGCTGGCTTCACTTGTGTTGAGGTAAACCATTCACCTGAACCCGTAAATAATGTCCTCAGGTTGGTAAACGAATGAATAGCAAAGTTCCTTGATAACAACCATTTATTTTTCACTAGCCGACGTTTCGATGACCGTCTGTCATCTTCATCAGGGCAATTCTGACTGGTTTACTGTGCACTGACGCTACATGTTACTTGGTTCATAGTGCACTAACGGTGTTACATGGCTGTGTACTATAGTGCACTAAAGGTGTAAACCAGTCAGAATTGCCCTGATGAAGATGACAGACGGTCATCGAAACGTCGGCTCGTGAAAAATAAATGGTTGTGATCAAAGTACTTTGCTATTCATTCACCTGAAGTTTTTATACATTGCAGTTGATCCTGACTACTTAAGCTAAATACTCTAGCTACTACGATGCGCATGTTGCATCGACAGGTACATGTATTGTATTAGCTGTACCTTAGATATACGTATGTAACACAGAAAAAGGAATAACTCCAGGTACACTTTGACCCCCGGGATCGAACCCGCCCCACTCGCGTGGTGTGTTAGCTCACAACCAGCGCACCAACCGATTAGCTAGGCCAAAAGGTCCAGGACCCATTGGACTGGGTAGTTACTCGTCGTTACACGTATAACGTGGCTAGGATGCAAGATTCTTCTTTAGTGCTTTAAATTTCCATTCTCCTGGACCTAGTAATATTGTGTGCACTTTTGTCGTTTCAGATTCTTTATTGACACAACAAAAAAAGTACAGGGACTTTGTATGGTCTTCTACAACTAAAGATCTAACAAAGCTAAATACATGTGTGGATAGCGTCACCTTACGTACAGAGTATATGTATGCTGTAACAATAAAGGTTTAACTATTCTCTAACATGTGGTCTCTAAGATCGAAACATCTTCTGTATCTGTATCTGTATCTGTATAGCCGGTATAACCGCCTTTCGGCGTAACACACCAGCTTCGCAGGCACGCGGCGCGGCGGCAGCTGGTTATATTACACCGATCGACTTGTTACACCTAACCCTTGAACTTCTAGCTCTAGACATTGTTTAAAGCTATCCATTGACAATGCCCCTACTGTACTTGGTGACAGTGAGTTCCACTCTGCGATAGTTCTAGGAAAGAATGAATTCTTGAACACCTCGATCCTTGGTTGATAACTCTGGTACTTGAATGCGTGGCTATTTCTTGTTCTCTTCTGGGCTGGTATTAGGTACTTAGTAGTTGGGACATCCACCAGTTTATTAGTCATTTTGTACATCATGCATAGTCTAGACATCTTTCTTCTGTCTTCCAGGGAGGTCCACTGTAGGTTTCTTTTCATTTCCGTGACACTAGCACCTCTTACATAGTTGTTCATACAGAATCTTTAATGTATTTTCCTATTTGAACACTGTATTGGTTATCTCCCCTGAGAATGTAGTTGAATTTATCTATAGGATCTAACGTTAGAAACAAGACCTTGCAAAGTTGACCGATATAGACCATGCATACTGTTATCCAGAACCGTGCCTGAGCATGGTTATTAACTTATAGATAAAACATGTACCTGGGTATAACATGTCTATTGTTCATTTGAATATTCCCCTCAGATCAAAGGTTGTTCCAGTTACGACCAGTATACCTACAGCCGCTGGACTGACTGAAGAACAATGCCGACAAGTACATCCAACTTTACGGCAGGACTACTACTCCGGCTGGCTCGGGCAGGCCAGCACCAGCAAACGGCTGTGTCACGACTTCGGCGCCGTGACAGGGGGACACTTCGTGGCAAAGAAGGCTTGAGTATCGGTTGAAAACACCGGTTGTTACCTCCGGGGAGGAGACATCCTTCCGCGGAAGGGTTTTGTGAGAGATTTAGATTTTCATGTTTGCAGCTTTTTTTTTCGCGTTTGGGTGGACGGATTCTTTTGAGACTCAGTATATGTTTTTCTATTGGGCTGCAGATGATTTTTTTATTGTATATGTGTTTTCGGGCGTGAAAATGGTGCCTTTTTGGTGGCCCCAAAACACCCCTTTGAGCGAGAAAGTGGTCGCGACCATTGACCTTTGGCGTGTTTAAGCTATACTGGGTCTGGTCCACGTGTATGACCCCTCACACAAAGGGGTGGCCGGTCTCGATATATTCTTTGTTTAAAACCCTATATAAAAATATACAATAAAAAGACCGGAGGTATAAAATCTCAGATTTTACTTGTTCTGTCTGATAATTATTAGATATAGTGGTGGGCATTGTCTAAGCTACTAGTACTGACATTTACTGATCTTGAGTTGCGATCATGGTCACCGTATAACTCACTCAATTACTTGCCACTTACTTACTCGCTTACTAAGTCACTTACTTACTCGCTTACTAAGTCACTTACTTACTCGCTTACTAAGTCACTTACTTACTCGCTTACTAAGTCACTTACTTACTCGCTTACTAAGTCACTTACTTACTCGCTTACTAAGTCACTTACTTACTCGCTTACTAAGTCACTTACTTACTCGCTTACTAAGTCACTTACTTGCTTACTAAGTCACTTACTTACTCGCTTACTAAGTCACTTATACTTACTCAGTTCCGTACGGATGTAGGTCGTAGTGCCAGTCTTAGTTTTTAATATTGTCACGAGCATTTTTATTCACAAAATTAAGAATAAGTTGTTATAATTTAAATGATAGAAATGGGTCGATACAAGAAAATTCCAAATGACCAAAGATTCTGTCCATTTTGTCCAAACAAGATTGAAAATGAGCACCATTTCATAATGGATTGTACACTATACAGTTATAAGCGCCTATTGCTGTTCACCTTTCTTTCAACTAATTTCAATACGTTAGATCCTATAGATAAATTCAATTACATTCTCAGGGGAGATAACCAATACAGTGTTCAAATACATAATACAATACATTACAAATACATTGAATAATGTTTCGATCTTAGAGAACACATGTTAGAGAATAGTTAAACCTTTATTGTTACATCATACATATACTCTGTACGTAAGATGACGTTATCCACACATGTATTTAGCTTTGTTAGATCTTTAGTTGTAGAAGACCATACAAAAGTCCCTGTATTTTTTTGTTGTGTCAATAAAGAATCCCTTTAAAAAATTGATAAATGGTAGCAACAATTAGCACAAATACAGAAGAATCCTGTACTTTTATCAATTTTTAAAATATATTCAAGCTATGAATCACCCTGCTATAAGAAAACATGACTTCGTATACTACAGAACTGAAATGTAAAAATTGATAATTAGTCACTGTCTTCTCTGGCTTAATGATATGATATGATATGATATGAATCTTTATTGCATGTTCTTGCTCAGATAGGCTAAATGCACAAGAGGACATGCAGTATGCAAAACAACAATATTGCATACTGGGACGCTATATTCTAATGCTAATTGCTAGGAATTTATACATTATAACAATACTGTATACTACCTATTATCTACTGTTACTAGCCCATTCCTCTCTTTTGAAACATTTGAAAACATAATTACATAGTTTGTCTGCTATACATTCGTTCTTGCATGAAAATAAACCATGAAGTATGCAGCATGCCGCCTTGTAAGTAAGATTTATGTAATCTCTGGTGCATCTGTTTTTGTTTTGTGTTTTACATGCAAACGTAAAACACAATACGGTGTATCCAATCATTTCCGTTGTATCGACATTCCATCAGTACAAAACTTTTAAATCGTGGTCTATGTTACCACTTGCAACTATTACGTATACTTTTGAGATGTAATCTGTGCTGAGTGGTATGGAAACATGTCAAATTTCAGACTGATTTGGATTTTTAGGGTCTTTTTAGGGTTTTTTCAGTCTATGTATAAATGTGCTGTATCACGCAACTGGCTTTCCGGGTGAGCCGACTGCAGTTCAGTTGACCTCCGCAGATGATATTTTAAAGTGTGTGTCACAGACCAATACTCTGAGAGATAATTTCTTTGTTTTGTGATAATTTGTAAGTTGTACCTCGCACTCAAACATATTCAATTTTTGTTATTGTGAACTGCGCCCTACTATAATTTTTACGTCGAAACTAGTCACCTAGGGGGTCCTTAACTATAACAACCCCCATAGGATAAAACACGTGTTCTGCTACCTTGACCTTTGACATATTCTGCACAGGTATGGCAAAGCTACTTCCGCATTTCGTTGCTGTCTGACGCGATCATGTGAGAAATACCCCTAACCGGTACATGCACACAAGTAGTGTATGTGTAACCCGTATATTTATATGGGCGCAGCAGCACAAACAAAATGTACTGAAGTAAACAGTTTAAAAAATGTTAGGAAGAGGTCCAATGCATGTTATATAGTAGTGTTTCCATTGACATGCGTCACAGAGTTGCCCTGGTAATGTATCCAATCATGTTGTTCCATTGTGCATCTCACCCACAAATACACCTCATTACTTAAAATTAATTCCATGTACCATACCTCAGGGGTAATGTCATTAATAATTCAGATTTCATTACTTATTTCTGGCCGGTGTCGCAGACGTCTTTTGTTGTCACTTGTGTCCTTCTGACGTCGCCTTGGTGACAGTAATGGTTAGCAGTAACATATTCGAGTATGGCAGATTTTTGACAACGCCCTAGTGGCGGGCGGGATGCCCAGGCACGGCTCTGGATAGTCCATGCGTATTCAGAACCGTGCCTTGAACAAATCTACGTCCAAGGATACGTGGAGACTATCCACAACCGTGCATGATTCTTACACATTAGGGCATAGTAGAACCGGTTCTGGATACCAAAGTCCGGTCACGTACACCGTGTCACTCTCATACGTAGCCTTAAAGGCATCCAGTGCGATTTCTGGGCATTAAAACTGGATTTACAAAATAAAAATTCTAGTCACCTAGTTACATGGTATGATTGAACAACACCATCCTAGCCCATATCGACCTTCGTTGAGCAAAAAAGCGATGTCGTTGAGCGGTGAGAACTCGCTGAAATCTGCACGCTTTCCCGGCCCGGCTCTGGAAGGCAGCCATTTTTCAAATCTGCCGACCGCGCGCGAAGCCTACCGATGATCCCCGAACGCTTCCGGAGATTGTCACGTGATCCTCGGTGACCTTTCTGACACAGCTGTCAGTCGGCTTATCAGAGATCACACGCACGTTCATTATTCTCCGTCGCACTTTTCATAACTTTTTTTGCGCTCGCAGTTCGTTTCGTTTTTTTTTATACGTGACAATGGCAGGTCGTCCCCGGCGAGCAACGAAAGAGAAAGCCATCGAGAGGTTTCGCATGTTGACGGACGATGAGGTATGTAAACTTCTATTTGTTTTCAACTTTTTGCGTCGTATGTCATCTCTGGTGTTCATCTCGACAAGTTTAGTCTTTGCCAATAAATACGTGAGTAGACAAAGTAATTGAAATATATATATAAACTACCTTCAGTTTCCAATTCCAGTGTGTGTAGACTAAGTAGAGTTTGTTTCCATGCTAAAACTTTGCGATTTTTAGCGGTCTGTCGGACGTGTGCATAATTACGTTCGCTTCTCCGATCATCGGAAAAAACACATTGACGTGAAATATTTCACTACTCTTGGAAATTGACCCCCCAAAAAAATGCAACTTACCTGAATGAAGAGTTCATCTTTTACCTAGCACTTTTGAATGTATAAGAAAATGTGTCTATTGTGGCCGTAAAGAGTTTGAAGTGATTTGTTTTGTAATTCATTCAATTTTGCCAAAGCGGAATTTAGCATTTCAGTGTTACTTTTCGCGTTGCCGTGCTAATTGCAGATCTAAAGACGTTTCCGTTATCCAGCCAAATCAATGCACGCAGATGGGGATGTGAACAGATGTGTACCCGAACGAACATAATTAGTATGCTATTAGATGTCAAATACCAGACTTGTATCACTGTCTGCACATAGTGTTTAGCTTATAAGGTCAAAATTTACAATAAAGGTCTTTCAATCATTATCAGACCTCTACACTATTTATAATATTAGTTTATGAATTTCCTGGGATGAATTGTCAGCAGAAGTGTTTTCTATCTGTGTCTGAAATCAATATAGTACTATTTCTCATATACCTTTCCCTGTATGACCTAGGACAATCCAGCCCGAGGAAGGGCATTTGCCCGGCACTTGGAACAGAGGAACCAGGTGAACCAGCCTGCAGACGCCACGCCCCTCCAGCCTCAGGAGGATCCCCAGGAGGACATGGACATGTCCCTTCCCTTGGCAGATTTGTCCATCGACACTGATGCGAGTGAGGACGGGAGTGATGAGAGCGGTGGTGAGGAGGATGGGGATGTAGAGGAAGAGGATGCAGAGGAGGAGGAGACAGAGNGAAGCTGGTGTGTTACGCTGAAAGGTGGTTATACCAGCTATACAGATACAGATACATGTACATACTACCGCAGACTGAGGCCATTCTTGTGATTTTAAAAAACGTGTCCTGTTTTTTTTAAACGTAACGGCTGTCTTAGATCCTTGCCAGTGGTTAGTTTCGTCAGAGCCTGCTTGAAAATACTTTGTTTCAAAATATTACAACAACATGCAACGAATATGAAGTTGTAGAAAACCATAGAAAAGTCATTGTACCTTTTTGTTGAGTCAATAAAGAATCATTGTGACTGTGGGGTTGTGTGGGCTGTGGCGTAGCGGCAGAGTGCACGACTCGGAACATAGAGGTCCCGGGTTCGAGTCCTGACATGCCACCGATCTTGTGCCCTTGGGAAAGGCACTTTACACGACTTTCCTCACTTCGCTCAGGTGAAAATGAGTATTGTCCTGTCATGTATTTGTCCCCTGTGTTGGTTGCGGCATTAATATAAGTTGAAAAAAACCTGAGTGTTGGAGCTGGAATTAAAAAAAAAAATCATTGTGACTGCGCCATAAGCGTAACCACAGCCGTTGTTGGCGTAACGGC